CTCTGTAGACTACCAGTTTGGCTTGGAATCTCCTGAGTGCTGAGATTAAAGATGCACCCTCCATATTAAAACTGTTATGTGTATGAATGTTTTGTCTGGTGCCCTTAGAAGTCAGAAGAGGGTGTCAGATCCCCCGAAACTGGAATTATAGATGATTGTGAGCCACCATGTGAACACTGAGAATCAACCCTGGGTCCTCTGCAAAAGCAACAAGTGCTCTAAGCCCCTGATTCACCTCTTCAGGCCCAGAGCTGTTTTCAATAATGTTACTGTAGAGTGTTTTCTTTTCAGATAGTGATTGAAAACCTAATAGTCATTTATTTAATTCTATTTTATTAGTATTTAAGTATTAGACAATAGGTTGATTTTCTGAGTCTATTACATTGTTTTTTTTCCTCATCTTTTATAAGAACTGGGTTGGTGAATGTGGAAATATTTAGAGCGACTACAGGGTAAGCTTGTAATAGCTGTACCTTCTGCCTTCTCTGTTATGTCATGGTGAACCCCAAACCAGCACAGTGTTGAGATGCTTAAGTCTGTTAGGTGCTCCCTTCATATGTAGTGAGGGAAAACTCTCTTAATGGAAAAGTAGAATTTCCTAGAGACCCAGCCTTGTGGGAACTTACTGAGAAGGGTTGAATATGTAGAAGTTTGCCTAACAGCTATGTTTCCAGGAAAGCACATGTTGGGTGGCTGGTGGTGTAACTCTAAGGTCAGTTTTTGGGAAGAAAATATGGAGATGTGGGACCAGAGAGACAAAAGATGAAGAAGACAGCAGATGAACTCATGGAGAGGAAGCTCAGGTTGGCTGTTAGAGATCTAAGTGTGTGTGTGTGAGTGTGTGGCAGGCAGACACATGAAAGCCAGCTAGAAATGTTGAGGTGGGAGGTGTGTACCACGTACCTGAAGAGCTTGTTTCCATGGATGCAGACTAGCTCTGTTTAATGAGGTTGGTTAGGATGTGACGGAAGGAACTGGATATGGTCCACCAGAGCAGCCTTTGTGAGCATCTCTGTACCAAGCCAATGGTGCAGCTTTTCCTTAGGGGCGGGGTATTAGGGTAGGAGTGTAGGATTAGGCACAGAGAACTTAAAGCCTACTTTGATCTCATGTTGAAGAAGTCAGATTTGATTACAGTGTGCTGGAAACACCACTCCTTTAAAAACACTGAAAGTAACACCCTGGTGTGTAAATGAACGGGTGCAAAAAGAGCTGGGTGTTAAATACCCAGGAGCCAATTCCTCTATGGATGAGAAAACGTACAACACTCATTTTCTTAAAAAGTTAACTCTGAGACCCTTTTCTCAGTTCTACTGACAACTCAGGGTTCTTTGTATAACTGCTTTCATTACTCAAATAGACATACAATTTGCATTTTTCTTAGAACAAGAGAAGCAGCATTGCCCCTTCACAGAGTTGAGGGGCTTGCTTCTTTATCTGGTGCATTTCCCTAGCGGATGGCCACCATTGATGCGCTGCAGCTATGTGAGGGGCAGCGCTTTATCACCCGGGTCCACGTTCCAAGAGGAATCTGCGCAGAATCCCCACCTGGGTATCAGAAAGGCGTTCATGTTGTAGAGTGTTGAGAGATTCTCTTTCCTACTCCAGGTCCTTCCGTACCCTCTGCTTTGGGTGCTGTTTCTAACAGTTCTGCCTTGAGCAGCAGGCCTGGGGGGTTGGTGGTGGTCTCCAGTTTAGTAACCCCCACATTCGGTAGCTTCAGAGCCTCTAGATAGACTTGAAGGTAGCCTGCATTCCAGGTGGCTTAGATTGCTCCTGTACGTCCGTGCTTGGAGAATGTTTTCTGTCCTATCTTTGAGGAGTGTCGTTTAAGTGCCATTCTTTAGCTTACATGGAAAGCACCAGGCCACAGCTGTAACATGGGGTTCAGGCCCTGACCTGCCTGCAGTGATGAGCAGCTCTAACTTAGTTGATCCACCACACCCAGACTTCTTGCTGCTCACTTACTCAGGAGGGTGTGGTGTCTGTTGCCCTGTAGAGGATCCTAGCTCTGGGCCCTGTTCTTCACTGTCTCTGTTGTCCCCCGCAGAAAGCAGTCCCCACTTGGAATAGACTTTGCACGTCTTCATTTTTTTTTTATCAAATTCTTGGAGACAGTCCAGCTTCAAGGTTCATTAGGAGGCATGCTCAGCTGTGGGCTGGTGTTTCATGGCAGTGACATATGGCTGTGTGCAGTGTGTGGCTGCCTCTGGGTTATTTAAGGTATTACTCAGGAAGCCAGTAAGCCACTCCTCTACTCTACACATGGAAAGTTGTATTCTCCTCCCATTAGACAGTATATAAAGCAAGAGGTACTTGTCACAAACCGTAAGTACTACACTCTCAGATTTTGGTAAATTTCCCAAATCCCAACATATATGCATATTCTGATCCTCAAAGAGGCTTTATCAATAATGATAGATATTGCCGGGCAGTGGTGGCACACGCCTTTAATCCCAACACTTGGGAGGCAGAGGCAGGCCTAGACCAGGCTGGCCTCAAACACTTTCTGAGTTTGAGGCCAGCCTGGTCTACAGAGTGAGTTCCAGGGCAGCCAAGGCTATACAGAGAAACCCTGTCTCAAAAAACAAACAAACAAACAAACAAACAAACCCAAAAAACAATAAATGATAGATATTGCCCCTTGAGTAAGTGAAAGGACTATCCACACTGGGATAAAAAGCTAGTGTCTCCTTTGAGTCACAGACACCAGTCTTCCAGATCTACTCAGGAAAGGTCTAACGGCCTCTCCTTCCCTATCTTGCTGCAACCTCTGTTACTACTTCTGGTCTCTGGGTCAACTGCTAAGGGATGGCAATATTTTACAAATCCTCAGTGCACTTTGGAACTGACAGCGTTTAAGTTTTCTTCAAGCTGATTTTCCCTCATACTTATCCTATGTGTCTTTCTGAACATCCAGGCACAAATCATATTAATGGTAAGAATAGATTTTAGGGCAGAGGCTGTAGCTCAGTGGTAGGATACTTGCCTAACACAATCAAGGCCCTAATTTGATCTCCAATACCACTAGAGAAGAGAAAGGGGAGGAGTGTTTAAAATGAAAAGCATCCTGCAGGCTGGGCATGCTGGTACTCACTTTTAATTCTAGCTCTCAGAATTCAGAGCAGGCAGGTCTCTGTGAGTTTGAGGCTGAAGTGGTATATATAGTAAGATCCGTGTCAACCAAGGCTACACAGTGAGATTCTCCCTAAACAGCAACAACAAAACATTCACCTTATTGCTAGGACAGGCAAGACAGCTTACTGAGTAAAGGTACTTCCTGCCAAGCACGATGGCTTGAGTTGATTTCTGGAACCCATGTGGTGGAAGGAAAGAACTAACTTTTGCATAGTTTTTCTATGACCTCCACACGTGCTCTGCCCCCCCCCCAAAAAAAAATAGAAGAAGAAAAAAAGAGCCCTCTAATAGGTACTAATAGGTGGCAATGATTGATCATTTGAATCAATCAACTTGGCTGAAATCTTTCTGTGAATTACTTCAGTGCATAAGTCACGTCACTGTGCTTTGTAGGGTTCTTATAATGACTGACTTTACTTCTCAAGTTGACAAGACATAGAATTACTTGGAAAGAGTCTCAGTGAGGAATTATGTAAATCAAGGTGGCCTTATGAGCTAGTCTTAACTGATACAGTTAAGCCATCCCTGGGTTTGAACCCTGGGCTGTACAAGGGTGGGGAAATGTTGACCACCAAGCATGCATGCATGTATTCATCCTCTCTGCTCTTGACCATGGATATGGTATGACTAGCTGCTTCCAGTTCCTGCTATTGTCACTTCCCGAAATGATGGACTACCATCTGGATTTGTGAGCTAAAAAATATATATACATATACTCATATATATGCAGTGACACTTAATGAAAGAAGTGAGCAAGGAGGGACATCAGGGAGGGCTTGGAGGACAGGGAAGGGAGAAACTATAGAATTATAATCTCAAAAACTTTTTAAAAAAGTAAAAAAATAAAATGGACTCGACTTCCCTCAGTTGCTTATTGTCAGGGTGTTGTTTATCAGGAACATCCCAATGAAGGCTATTGACTCTGTTTTACAATTGAAGAGGTGAGGTCAGTTTTAAGCAATGGGACCAAACCATGTAGAGCAGAAGAGGAAGAGTTAGAATTTGGATCTACGCAAACCCTACTCGGGAAGGCACTCTCTGTATGTTGGAAATCTATAGATCTAAGGATGATAAATAAGTAAGATTACCTATGTCTAGCACTGTTTGTGGCGTATGACAGCTGCCCAGCAATGCTCCCCTCTTATCTTTGAGACAGTCTTGCTATGAGGCCCAGCAACCTTTCCTGCATCAGCCTTCTGAGTCTCAGGGTTAAAGGCACCATCTACTAAAACTCATCTATTCCTTTGGTCTGAACTGAAACCACTTCCCTCGTTTACTCTCTGGAAAACAATTTAGCTATGTTTAGAGTTTTTGTTTATTTGTGGTTTTGTTAGTTTTGGTACTAGGAATTAAACCTAAGGCCTCCCACTGCTAAACAGGTGCTCTACCCCCACACTGTATCCTCAGGGTCCTTTTTGTACTGCTTATTTTGAGTGGAGGTCTCACCAGATTGCCCAGGCTGCCCTTTCTATCCTCCTGCCTTAGCCTCTGGAGTAGCTGGGGTTCCAGGCTTGCACCACCAGGTCCCGCCCTCCTCTTTTTTTTTTTTTTTAAATAAGGAAGCTCTTTCCCTCTCCGGCTGGCACTTATCTAACTTGCGGTTCTTGATGAGGAAATGAGTGTTCTGTGCTTTCTATTGTTAGTCTGATGAGAATGGGTGTGGGGAGCACTTTGAGAAAATATTTGTGTAAGGAGGGAGAGGCAGAAGCCAACTGAGTGGGAGTGTGTCTACTCTGAAGGTGCCTGGAGATTTTGACCCTGATGGAGGCTTTGAAATGGTACTTCTTCCAGGAGAGAGGGGCTCATGTATGTGATTCTCAAGCTTCCAATGCCCTCAGCACATCCTAGCTTGGTGAATTATGTAATCTTTTTTATGTAGATGAGGTTCTGGGCATTTCTTTGCAGGACTGTGACTCACAGGCTGTTAGATGACACTGAATGCTGGGTATTCCACAAACAGCATTGTCTTTCCATCCTCAGGGCAGTTGTATGAGGTGGTGTATTATATATAAACATTCTTTCTTTTTTAAAGATCTTAACTTTTTTATTTTTTGTGTATATTGGTTTGTGCCTGCATGCACTGTCTGAAGAAGCCAGAAGAGAGCGTCAGATCCTAGAGCTGGATTCACAGTTGGTTGTGAGGGGCTGATGTGGATGCCGGGAACCAAATCCAGGTCCTCTGTAAGAGCAGCAGGTATTCTTAGCTACCAAGCCATCTCTCTAGCCCCTAGGGTTTAATTTTTCTTAAAAACAAAGCAAACTAACCAAACAAAAACATAGCCAGTGTGATAGAACACACATTAATTCCCAGGAGGCAGAAGAAGGCAGATCTATGAGTCTGAAACTAGCCTGGTCTACACAGCAAGTTCCAGGATAGTAAGGGCTACACAGTGAAATCCTGTCTTGAAAAAAACAAAACAGTAGTTAAAAGGTCACACACAGCTTGTACAGATCACAGCAGACTAGACAGTTCCACTAGGGGAGGTTTATTAAGAGAGTGGGAGAGCGGGAGAAGAGAGAGAAGAGTAGAGAGGTGGAGGCCGGCCATGACCACGTGGAGAGAGGGGGAAGGGAAGGGGGAGTGGAACTGCAGGTGCGGGGTCCTGGGACCAAGAGAGAGAGGAGGGGCCAAGCAGCCCCTTTTATAGTGGGCAGGCCTACCTGCCTGTTGCCAGGTAACTGTGGGGAGGAGCATACCTGGCCGCTTCCAAGTAACTGTGGAGGAGGAGTTTAACAGATTACTAACAGTAGTGGCACAGGTTTTTAATCCCAGCACTCAGGAGGCAAGTGGATCTGTGAGTTTGAGGCTAGCCTGGTCTACAGAGTAAGTTCTGGGACAGCCAGGGGTGCACAGAGAAAGCCTATCCCCCCCCCCCAAAATATGATTGTAAATTAAAAAAATAAACTAGCTGGGCAGTGGTGGCGCATGTCTTAAATCCCAGCACTTGGGGCAGCAGAGGCAGGTGGCAGATGGATTTCTGAGTTCGAGGCCAGCCTGGTCTACAGAGTGAGCTCCAGGACAGCCAGGGATATACAGAGAAACCCTGTCTCGAAACAAAGCAAAGCAAAGCAAAGCAAAGCAAAGCAAAGCAAAACAAAACAAAACAAAACAAAACAAAACAAAAAAAAGAAAGAAAAAAGAAAAAAAAAACCCATCCAAACCAAAAAAAAAAAAAAACACTCCAAAAAACTAAAGCATAGGTACGTGACTGACCAGCTTTTCCCAAATTAACATAAAGAACAAATAAAACAGATACAGGATCTTTGTCGCGCCTATTGCAGAACTAGAGCCCCTTTGCTTCCACTTGGAGCCCCCACCTTCCAACTGACTGGAGCTTGTCTGGATCTCCTTCAAGTCTTAGCTCCTGTTTATGTGTAACCTGAAGCCAGGCTCTGTCCTCACGTGGTCCTCATTTGGAGAGCTCTTTAATCCCAAGTCCTGTGTCTGCAAGAGGAAACTCTGAACATAGACAACCGCCCCTCAGTAAGGTGTCACCCTTCTTATCCTGCAAACAGAACTGTGAATGTTTGTAGAGGCTCTGCCCTTATCCACCAGGCCAGTCCTGTCTGCAGTATGAGGTCACAGGTCTGCACTAGAGCTGTCTGAGAAAGTTCTCCACAGCAGCTCTAGGGGGCGTGGATTTTAGAATTTTAATAGTCACTAAGTGGAGGCGTCAGGCAGGGGTAGAAGAGGTGAGATTGAAGAATGAAGATTTTTGCCTGTGGTCTACTAATTCCTGCATACTGGAAGCACCTAGCGTTGAGCCTAGGGCCTGAATAGACAGTGTGAGGGAACGGAGCCGCATGGCGGGCAACCGCATGGGTGGACCCGGCCTTTCACAGGCAGGAAGAGGTGCCTCTGTGTGAGGGGGACAGAAGATAATTGTTCTAATTGTCAGGGAGTTTGTTAGCACTTGACATGTGAAATGACAGTAAACAGAGCTTTCCTGGAGGGGTGTGTGTGTGTGTGTGTGAGAGAGACTACAAAGCTCTGGCTGGCCTGGAATGCTTCACAGACCCCTAGGCTGACTTGAACTCACAGAAATATGCCAGGCTCTGCCTCCTCAGTACTGGGATCAGAAGCGTGTCCCCCTGTCCCCACAGCGCCCCCCCCCCAATACCTGCTGAGAGACTCTTTTCTCTTTGGATTGGAATTGTGCGCTGCATCTATTGAGAAGGTAAAAGCAGATCATGAAAGCTGCGCAGAGGAGAAAAGCAACCGTGGATGGGGATTGCTAGGGATGATGACATTTTCTCCTTTGTGGTGGAGTTTGTTTCAGTTGATCTTGAAGAATTTTGAGCAACTTCCTGTTAGAAAACCCAGTTTCTACTCCACTATGGAACCCACTTCCTGAGAGAGTGTGACAACTAGGCAGTCTGACTAATAAATAGGAAATAATAACAGTGTATATAGAAGCCATCAGACTGATTTGACCTGTGAGTTAAAAGTGTCTTTCCTCCTCTTCCTCCTCCTCTTCCTCCTCCTCCTCTTCTTCCTCCTCCTCCTCCTCCTCTTCCTCCTCTTCATCCTCCTCCTCTTCCTCCTCCTTCTCTTCCTTCTTTTTTTGGGTTTTCAAGACAGTTATTTTCTGTGTAGCCCTGGCTCCTTGAACTAACTTTGAAGACCAGACTGGCTTTGAACCCAGAGATCTGGTTGTCTCTGCCTCCCAAGTGCTGAGTTTAAAAGCATATGTCACCAGTCTTGGTGTGTGTGTGTGTGTGTGTGTGGACATGTGCATATGGAGGTCAGAGGTTGGTGTCAGATGTCTTTCTCCAGCCCTCTGCCCCTTATCTTTTGAGACAGGGTATCTCACTGAACCTGGAGCATACCAGTTACTAGATCTGGCTGGCCAGATCTGCCTAGCCCCACACTGTGATTGGGTTAGGGATAGACCTACCTGCCTTCTTATGTAGGTACTAGGGAATCAGAACTCAGGTCCTCACTCTTGTACAGTAAGTGCTGTATGGACTGAGCCATTTCCCATGAACATGGAAGCGAATAAGACAGATGAAATTACTTGAAGTCCAAGTGGAAAGAGGGAGAGAGACCATGATCTAGCACTGAAAAGATGACCTGCAGACACTGAGCAATGGGAGTCACCACTTATACCCCGCCCAACCCATCCCACCCATCCCATCTGTCCCTGTTTGCACATTTTCTCATTGAGACAACATCTCAATTCAGGTTGGTCTTGGACTCAGCTCCTCCTGTACCCCTTCCAAGTACTGGGGTCACAGGCATGTACCACTGTATGTTATTCTCTTCTCTCCTCTTTTATTATTGGATATTTTATTTATTTACAATACAGATGTCATCCCCTTTCCCCATTTCCCCTCCCTAGAACCCCCATTCCATCTCCCCTCCTCCTTTATGCTTTTATACCATTTTGATTACATGCATGTATTAAGGTCATTTCTAAGTTGAGGGTCTAGCAATACAATAGATGCAAACAGTCAAGGATCAAGCAAGACAATAAACACAAATAGTCAAAGAACTAGCAAGGCATTAAACCCAATGAACACTACCGTGATCACTGTTTCTAAGAGCTTACCAGGATGACCAAAATATCTGAACCTACTTCCCTGACCTAGCCCAAAGTCATTTTCATGTCTGAAGCCCTCTTCCTTGTTCTAGCCTAAAATTTAGATTCCTGTCTGAAATTACTTCTTTGTTCTAGCCTAGTATTTAGATTTCCACCTGAAATTACTTCTTTATTCTAGCCTAAGATTATGCTTCTCTTTTCTCATTTAATTTTCTCTTTTCTTTCTCTTATTGGAGACAGTCCCACTATGTAGCCCTGGTTGGGTGAATACTCACTGCATAGACAAGGTTAGCCTCAAAGTCATGGGCAATCCTCCTGCCTGTTTCTGGATTGTTAGGATTGCAGGTGTGCACCAGCATACCCACCTGTCCCTTCTTTGGTTCACTGGCTTTTGTTTTATGTGGTCTGTCATGACTGTGATTAACTGTCCTACTGTCATTCCCATTTGGAGTTTCCTTCTTTATAATTCTATAGTTGAGTTTAGGAGAGCCAGAGCTACACAGAGAAACCCCATCTCAAAAAACCACTCCTCCAAAACCAAAACCAAAGCCAAAAAACAAAAACAAACCAACCCCCCAAACCAAAAAACAAAACCCCAACCCCTAAACTGTTATTTATATTTCCAAGAGCGTCTCACCCACCAGTTATTATGTTCTTGGGGACAGTGAACACTTCATTACCTTCCCTCATGGAGCCTAGAAAAGGCTGTTACTCAGAAGCACTTGTGGAAAGCCAGGCATGGTGGTGCATCCTATCTGTGATCCAAGCACTTGGGAGGTGGAGGCAGGAGGATCAGAAGTTCTAGGCCAACCTGAAGTACCTGAGACCTCCCTCAACAATAAATCAC